CGTCAGCGTATCAGCAACGAGGCGATTAGAAAACGGGTATCTGGTTGTGCTGCAGGCACCTCAATCCGGGAAAACATCCAGCATCATCGACTACGATGGCTCGGTCATGTGCTACGCATGCCGAAACACTGTCTACCGAGACGAGTGTTATTCTCCGTGCCTCCTTCAGGATGGCGCAAACCGCAAGGTGGACAACACATGACTTGGCAAAAAGGGGTGAAAGAGATCACAAAGAGTTTGGGTGTTGTTGGTGTTGTGAGACTTCCAGGATGGGGTCCCCGTGACCCCGTCTGTGCTTGGCTGGAGACATTGCAAGAAATGGCGGCTAATCGATGTCAGTGGCGTTCGTGCTGTCAGTTTCTTTCCAGATTGTCTGATTGAGCGGTTGGAGGTGTAGGCACCTCAGTATGCTTGGCATAGGCCAGCATTAGGTCCCCTCCCTCCCCCACTCTTTTTCTCTTCTCTTCACTGTAGGGCTTTTAATGCAATTATATATACATATATAACTAGACTAACCTTATGGTTGTACGGCAGTGAAGCATCAGTGGCAACACTGATGTTGCTGTCTTTGATGATGATGATCTTGTTGATACTGGTAGCTCAGAAAGTTTCATTTCCGAAAATGTAGTCCATCATAACAAGTGGCCTGCCCTATCATCGTTGTCTGAGATCACTTTGACATCCATCCAGCACACAAGCTTCACTCTTGGACACTGTTTTTAACGTTGCAACACAGATAAAACAAGTATCCCTCTTTCAGCATTTCAGCGTTTTCAGCATTAAGTGATCTCTGTGTGGATATTCTACTAAGACATGATTTCCTCAAGCCTCAAAACCCATGGAAATCTCATTCAACGGTGATAAACCTTCTTTCTCGCAATGGGATCTACTTACTGCCTAAATCGAACCTCTCACTTTGTTTGCGCATCTTGATCCAAGATGGAAGCCCATCGCCACAAAGTCCGGACGACATTCCACAGACGACCAGGCCAACAAATCATTGAACCCTCAAAGTCCCCATGGAGAGCGCAAGTGCTCGTCACGAGAAATGAACGACAGAAGAAACGAATGGTAGTTGACTATAGCCAAATTATAAACGGATTTACGCAACTGGGCGCTTATCCGCCCCCCAGACGTGAAGATGTTAACAGTAAAATGGCTCAACATCGTATTTTAAGCACGCTTCATCTTGAGAGTGCGTATAATCGAATACCCATTAAAGAAAGTAACAGTCTACGCGGCTTTTGAGGCTTGAAACAACCTTTATCGGTCCCATGGAATAACCTACGGAGTAACGAATGGAGCAGCGTGTTCCCAAAGGGCGACGGATGACATAATATGCGCTGAAAAGCTTACCGTTTGTGGATAATGCCACCACTTGTGGAAAGAATCAAGAACACTATTGAAATCTGCAGCGTTTTCGCGCCGAAGCATAAAAGTGGACCCTTCAGCTGAATAATATAGAAGCACAATTTCTAGCACTAAACTGGGACTCCTTGGCTGTGAAATTACTGAAGGTATCATCTAACCAGACCCTGGACGCCTCAACGTCTTTAAAGAACTACCCGTTCTAAATGGCATGAAGTCTCAACAACGAGTGGTTGGCTTGTTCAAGTACTATTCTCGCTGGATAAGCCGTTTCCCTGATAAAATATACCCAATCACTCACAATACAACCTTTCCTGCCTCTGGGTCCGTTATGAAAACGTTTGAAAGTCTCAAAAAATAGTTGGTGGACGCAGCCGTGGTCAATGTCGATTCGAGAACACTTTGGTGCTCGAAAGTGATGTGTCTGATGTTGCGATTTCCGCTACACTCAATCACTCACGTATACTGTCTGTCAACGAAAGACATCATTCTGCTACTAAGAAAGAAAGGTGCGCAATTGTCGATGCAGTAAGTAAATGGAAGAATTGACTACTCAGGGACCATTTCAAAATTGTAACCGATCAGCGGTCCGTTGCGTTCATGTACTCAACACAACAAAAGGGAAAAATAAAAAGTTACAAAGTCCAACGATAGCTGATGGAGTTATCGCCTATTCCTTTCGACGTAACCTGCTGCCTTTGCGTCAATAAAAAGCTGCTGACACGCTTTCTCGGAGTGTCTGTGCGAACACTTCATCTCAGCTGAATCTGAAACGCTTACACACAACTTTGTGCCATCCTGAAGCAACACGCACGATGCATTTCGTTCGTACCGAGAATCTCCCATTCTCCATAGAGGACATCCTATTTGTCATTAGGCAGTGTCATGTGTGCGCGGAATTAAAACCGCGTTTCTTCAAACCATCTGGTGATAAACTCATTAAATACACATCATCATCATCAGCTGTAATAACCACGTACTCGTCGTACAGTGGCTGTAGCTTCCGCAGTATCGTTCACCGATGATTTGGGGGGGAGGGGTAGGTAGCTGCGCATTGCAGGGGGGAGCTGATAAATTGGTGCATTAAATACACACAAACGTTTGAACGTTTAAGCATTGACCTCAAGGGACAACTGACTTTGACGACTCGAAGTAAATATCTACTGACGGCGGTAGACGTTTATTCCCGATTTCCGTTCACCTATGCTTGTCCGGATATAAGTTCGTCTATGGTGGTATCATGCTTTGTGTCACTTCGCTACATTTGGCCTGCCCAGTTTTGTGCATTTGGATTGTGGCTCACCACCCATTTCGGATAAGATCAAGCGATTTCTTCATTAAGGCGTTGCCACCAGTCGGACTACTCCATAGAACCCAACAGGGGAATGTGGAAGGCTTAACTTACGATCAAATGGTCTTCAAATCAGCCATCGGGAAACCAATTTTCAAGAGGCGTTCTATTCGATTCGTTCTTTGTTTTCATAAATGCCACTCCAAAGGAAGGGGTGTTTTATCATATTTCAAAATCCGCATCATTGGTGCAGTGGTTTCTTTCTCTAGGACCAGTTCTGAAGTGCCGAAACACACGAACTTTGACTCCTGTCGTTCCAAGACGCAGAACCCAGTTGTTTAACAGAATTGAACAGGACGCCTCAATGACGTAGCAGAGCCTCACCACCGAGTGTCAACGCCTCATCAAACTGAAGCACGACACGGCTATGATCGGTTAGTCACCTGTGCAATCGACTCCAGTGCGCCTAAGAAGCTGACAAACCTGATCGGAAACAGAGCAAGCCTCCCACAAGTTGCCAGCATTGTGGTGAGTGGTATTTTGCACGTTATTGCCGGTTTAGGCGTCATAAATGTTCCAGATGCAGTCGTAGTGGTCACAAAGAAGATTTATGCCGATTTCAGAGGCCGCAGCCACCCGCACAGCACAGTGCAGCCAAATAGGCGTGCCCCACTCATCATCATCATCATCATCATCAATGACAGCAACATCAGTGTTGGCACTGATGCTTCACTGCCCCACTCGGTGACGGCGACATTCAAAGTTGATTTTGCTTACCAAAAGAAGTTCGTGACGGTTTGTATCAACGGTACCCTAGTTCGGTTGAAGCTTGATAAGGGCTCTGACATCAGGCTCCTCAGTGAAGGGACGTAGAAACGAATAGGTAAGCCGCATGTGAAACCGACCGAACATTGGATCCGTAATGCTTCTGGTGATAAACCGATGTTGACTGGTTCATAAGCCTCAATGGCTCAACGGCAGAAGCCACGTGCTACCTGACATTATACCCCAACCTGGACCTCATGGGGATGGATTGGATCGAAAAGCTCAATCCGCTGGAGAAACCAATTAATTCTGTTTGTAATCTCACACACGCAACACCCGGAAATGCCCTCGAACCATCTCACATTTCGAAGCGATCACTTGAGGACCTCCTAGAACGCTATCTGTCTGTCTTCGCCAACGAGCTTGGACGGTGCACAAAAGCAAAAACCAGACTGTGCTTCCTCGGTGCCAAACCATTTTCAGGCCAAAACACCCGGTGCCATATATAGCCCTACCTACCGTTGACCAGGAGCCGGACCGACTACAGAAGGCTGGTAATCTCAAACCGACCAACTACACTGCAGGGCCCAAACCGACCGTCTTAGTGAAGAAGTTTAACGGGACCATCCGGTTGTGTGCAGATTTTTCCATTGGTCTCAATGCTGCACTGGATGCCCATCAATATCCTCTGCCTCTTCCAGACGATTTGTTCGCAAAACTGAATGGGGGTAAATGTTTTGCGAAGATAGACTTGGCCGATGCCTACCTCCAGTTTGAAGTTGAGGAAGAATCCCGAGAACTTCTGACGATCAATCATCATCACGGTCTGTTCCAGTACACTAGACTGTCAATCGGTGTCAAAACAGCGCCAGTCATATTTCAACGGATCATGGATACGATGCTAAGGGATTCCCCCGGCGTTGTTGCCTATTTGGACGATCTCATTGTCATGGGTTCCAACCCCCGCAAATTGTGGCAGCAGCTTGATTACGTGCTTGGTCGTATTCAAGAACACGGCTTTAGAGTTCACTGAGAGAAATGCACCTTTCTCATACGGTCGATAAAGTAACTCGGTTTCATCAATGACCAACATGGCCACCGACCAGACCCGGAGAACATCGAAACTGTCAAGCGTATGTCAGCGCCCACAGACATAGCTTCCCTCAGGTGTTTCTTCGATCTCGTTAGTCACTATAGTTCGTTCCTCTGCCATGCATCGCCTCCGAGGCTCGCCAAACCGGTTACTTACCAAAGACTACAAGTGGACATGGTCAGAAGAATGCCAACGCGCCTAGGACTCTGACAAGTCCCTGCTGAATCCGGTTAGCTACTCACCCACTACGATCCATTTCTGGAAGTCGTTGTGGCGTCGGATGCCTCGAACGATAGAATTTGCGCAATGATTTCAGTGTACTTCCCGAGGGCAGCTGCCAGATCCCTGATATCAGCCGAGCGCAACTACAGCGAGGTAGAAAAGGAAGCTTTGGCGGTCGTGTTTGCCCTAAAAGTTTTAAAAAAGCTCTATGGCCGTCAGTTCACCCCGACTGACCAACGCAATCCACTCTTTGCTGTTTGGCTCGAAGAAAGGAACCCAACAACTACTGCTAACCGCCTCTAACGATGGGCCACTCTGCTTCTGGGGTATGACTTCAAGATCGAGTGCCAGTCCACCACCAACCCCGGACAAGCCGACGCACTGTCGCGACTCATTTATTCAAATGGGCCAGAACCAGAAGATACTGTAGTCGCAACAATTGCCCTGGAACCGGAGGTTACCACTTAGTACCTGAAGCAGTTCGCACCCTCCCAGCGACTACCGACACGGTTCGTCAGGCTACCGACCAAGACCGTGTGCTGCAGCAAGTCATTAAGTACCACCGTAACCGGTGGGTGCGTACCTGCCCAAAAGACGAGCTGAGACCTTACTTCAACAGGCGAGACGTGCTATCACTAGTCGATGGATGCCTTTTGTTTTCAGAACGCGTTGTCATCCCAGAGAAGTTACAACCAGCCGTCCCGAACCAGTTTAATAAAGAGAACCCGGGAACAAACAGAATGAAGGTCTTTGTTCACAGTTACGTCTACTAACCTTAGATGGACTCCCAGATCGATCGAGCCTCAAAATCTTGCCTGCGGTGTGCTGAAGCATCCAAGTCACCTACCTACGGTCGTGGCCGCAACCGACCAAAACCTAATCTCGTCTTTACAACGATAATGCGGGTCCCGTGGGTGGCGAACACTTTCTGGTCGTGGACGATGCCTACAGCGAAAGGCCGGAGCTTTTTCCTATAAATAGCTCCATAGTCCTGGAACTCCGACGATTGTTTGTTCGCTTTGGAACACCACAGACTATTATATCGGACAATGGCAGTCAGTTTACGCCGTCCGCGTTTGCAAACTTTTGTTGGGAGTATGGCGTAACGCACATCAGTTCGCGCCGTCTCATCCAGTCGAACGGCCAGGCGGAACGCTTCGTCGACACTGTGAAGCGGGTAATACACAAGTCCACTGGTAACGGACCAAAAGAAGAGATTTTACAAAGGTTCCTGCTGGCCAAACCCCAACTCACCGGATGGAGTGTTACCAGCAAAGGCACTGCTCCGAAGGCGGCTTTGAACACCGCAGAAAAGGCAAGTTAGTCACCACAAAACCAGAATGGAGGAACAGTTCAACCGGCATCATGAAAACAACTGAGCGCTCCTTCAGCGAAGGCGAGACTGTTGGGTCGTGAGCACAGCGGCAGACACCCTACGCGGATTCCAGAACACATGCTTCACTAGGGCGGCAAAATGGTCTACGATATTCAAGTTTGTCCAGCCAAGTGGATACGCCGCATAAACAAAATTCGGCGGACAGATGCACGCATCCTGCACACAGGCCCGAGTGAGCTGAGTCTAAAGATGCTTCTGGACAGTTTTACTCTCAGCACCATCTCAGAAAACCCATCTGCTGCTTTTTCGGAGACCCACCGATTACAGCCGCGAGGCTGGACAGACGGGATCCGCAAGTCAGTGAGGCCAGTGCAAATGAACCCTCGGGTTCGAAGTTCCGTCAACAACTTTTAAGCGGGAGGGCTAGGCGGAATCACGGACGGATCCCGCCTTACCGGTATCAGTCAGGTGCTGCTACGTCCGAGAGGCTTATCCCACGCAAGATTGGCTAAAGATTCGGGACGCTCGCCGGACCGGCACCAAGCCGAGGTCTGATTGGTCGAAAGTCCGGACCCAACAGCCAATGATGACCCAGTATTGGCCAAATGCCGGTTGCCAATGGTGTCAGGGTTTTCCGGGAAAGTTGTCGCCGCTCACACCATATAAATATAGCTCTGTATACATGTTCGTAACTGCGTGTTGACATGACCGCTAGCTTTGGAGGCTCAGACCAAGATGTAAGCTGAGTGGAATACCGTCACCACAGTCTATCTGGCTGCTCGGAAACCAGATTTATGTAGTGTTCAGCGAAATAAGAATTCAAGTTGCAAGCAATAGTTGTGCTAACTGCCCCGTTCGCTGGGTCTCCTCCGAATGACATATAGACACGTCCATTTAGAGGGTACTCGAATTTAAACCTCAGGATTTCGAGTCGTCTGCAAAAAGTAGGGATGGACTCGAAAGAACGTGTGGAAGGTCGCTGATGCATATGAGAAGCGGAAGTGGTCCCAAAACAGAGCCCTAAGAAACTGCGATGGAGACAGGAGCCGGAGAAGCGTAGGTCGAGCTTATTGTTACCCTGAATGTTCTATCCGACAGGAACGCTCTAAACCAGGGTAAAATTTTCACCGTGAGTTTCGTGTGCTTTTGAAAAGTCGAAAAATATGGCATCTAATATGGGTCCTCCGTCCTTAGCTCGGATTAAGCTGTCCGTAAATACGGGCATGTTCGTCGTGCAAGAACGGTTTGGAAGGAGTCCGTGTTGCACTGGGGATGTCATTTTGGTAGTAAGGTGACTTAGAATGGCTCACTTCAGAATGCGTTCCATCACCTTGCACGGAACGCTGGTGATGCTACCCGGCCTGTAGCTGCCAAATGTTGGTCGGCCACCAGTTTCGCAGGTTGGCGTAATAGTCGCCTTGTGGCAAGCAGAGGGAAGGTTTCTTTCGTCGAACTACTGACAAAACAGCAGGTAGAAATGCCTTGACAATGTGAGCGACGTTTCATTCAGGTTCCTTGAATGGACCTTATCTGGTCCCAAATCGCTGCCTTTTGCAAGAGTTGACGAATGTCATCAGTGTAGATCAGGTTGGTTAGAGGTCGTCCATAGTTATGTCTTGACGACGTTGAATGTGACGAGGTCGCCGGAGCAGAATGGAGGCCTGGATGGTGTTCTCTGTAGGCTTCAGATACCACTGTCAGTTCACTGGTAGGCTCCCGTTTTATGTCCCTCAAGAAGAATCAGGTTGACCCATTTCTTCGGTGCTATATTGTGTAATTAATTAGCGTATTTTGTTTTTCTTCCGGTAGAGGCCCAGTATTGTAGCTTGTTTTTGTGTTCCACTTGCGGATTTTTGGTTTACAGCAGTTGTTCCGTTTACGAATAGCGAGCTCGTCTTCTGTGTCACCTGTAGTTATATTTTGGAAAAGTAGTTGGAACCTCTTTTCCAGAAGACGCCGAATCCTTTTAGATAGCTTTTTGTCTGTCTGACTGCGTGCTGGTTTTTTCTACGAACATCATGTCAGCCTCATGAATGTCAATGGTCGTGTATAGCTCTTCCACAGAAGCTGTTCCCAGTTTTAGGTGAACAAAGAAGCTACTCACTTCTGGGAAGTTTACGGCAGAAGGTCCTAACCCACGTCTGGTGTCCCAGATTTCTAGCCCAATAACAGATGAAATCAAACGCCGACACACTGTGATCACGATGTCCCAGCGGAGCCCTATTTGACACCTGATCAACGAAGTGCCTTTCGTTGGTGCTAACCAAATTCAGCAGGGATAGTAGTTCTCCTGTGCGGTATCTGGTGGATGCGGCGACATGTTGACTCCAATCGTCCTCTTGCACGGTTTTAGTCGGCGCTGGAATTCTATCTAGTGGGTCTTTGAACCGTTGAACTCACCTCCCAGCAAGAAATGTGTGAAGTGGTAAAAATTACTCAGTTGTAGCACCAATTGGTCGCCTAACTGCCATCACCAGAAGAAAATACGAGGGCTTGGATACTGCCAGGTTGCCCGAACCTAGACAGAAGAAGTCGAGAGCCAGAGGTTGGGTTCGAACCATGGGCCTCCCGGTCAGTGAATTCGCGCTCAAACCACTGAGGAACTGGTTGTTCTCCGATGAATTTGAGGGGCAACGTCTAACTACGCCGAGAAGAAGAGAATAGGTCCCACCCGAAGTTTGTCAATAAAATAAGTTCTTTGTATTTTCAGACTTTCGGACACTTGAAGTTATACAAAGATCCCTCCGAAAGTTCTCGTACACAGTGGTGTCCATCAAGACTATCCTGTTCCTCCATTACTTATTTTCGTTATCGACTGTATGAGAAACTAATTCCGGAAGATCTTCAAAACTCTGGTGTTCAAAAAGCTTCTGACGACAACCTCTTCAATCTGGAATATGCCGACTACATATGTCGCGACCCATGCGCGAACAGGAAGTAAAGCTACGGAGGTTGCTTCCATCTTTTTAATCCCAGGGTGCATCGGGTGAAACTGCTCCATGGCCCAATGATGTGGGGGTGTCGTGGCACCATATCACATTATCTAAGCATGGGGCAGTCGCCATTGATAGACATTGAACCCGAAGATGAAAATAATATTTAACGTCTTCATCCAAGGCTTTTTTTGCCAATATGTCCTGACGAATCGGATCTCCTGCTGCAGTGTCAAACCAGCTGAAATCTCAAGATATCCTGTACAGCCACGAGTCAGCCAAAGCCGGTTTGGAGCAGCTACTGGCTGGTGTGGTCATCAATTGAAAGCTTAGCTTTGACGATGTCCTCTTTAAGGGTCGCAATTGGAGAATCAGCCTCACTGCAGATTGTACTGATCGGGACATTCCCCAAACTCAGACGGTCGGACCAGTGGAGGCCAACAAGATGCATCCCGGGAGCAGTTTCGGAAAGACGATGGCGCAGCTGTTTATGGATGCACTGATCAAAGGGACACCGTTCTTTGGCATGCGCTTTGTGCCCGCAGAGTTTAAGACCAGTGCCGTGCACATTCAGCCGCTAAACACACATTGCATTTCAGGGAAAGGCATATCATCATCATCAGAGACGACAAAATCGGTGTTGACAATGATGCGTCACTGCCGTACAATCATTAAGTCAATCTCATTGTGTTTAAATCCTTAGATTGAAAAGAAGAGAAAGAGTGAGTGATAAAGAGACCTAGTGCTGGACTATGTCAAACACTCTGAGGTGCCTACACCTCTAAGCGCTCCTTCAGACATGGAAAGAAACTGGCAGCACGAACATCACTGACATCGATCAGTCGCTATACCTTGCAATCTCTCAAGCCAGGCACACGAGGGGTCACGGGGAGATCGTACAACACCCAAACTCTTCGTAATCTATTTCAGGTCCTTCTGTTAGGTCATAGATTGTCCGACTCGCGGTTTGCGCCATTCTTTTTAGCTTTGGGTCGGTAGGTTGTACCTTTAAGCCACTTTGACATGGTGGTCGGGCTTGAGTGCCGCATTGATCCCGCGAGCTACACTGGATGGAACTTAGTTCCATAAGGTGCAACCATGCCGGAAGGTCAAAAGGGGAGCAGTCAGACTAAGGGCAGCAACACCCCGTACCTACGAGTAACCGTGCTACGAGGCGGTCTGGGTCTTAATACGGCTGCGCACCAGCCTACTGCGCAGCGGAACAATCATGTGAAACAGAGCTGTGCGATTAGGCCCCCACGTCTGAATCACGTCCGATTTCATCATGTGCCGGAGAAAGGTCAAATAGGGACACACAAAGTCCACACCCACTCCATGGCCAAGGCACTCCGTACACAAGCGCACAGACGGCCATCTATGATCAACCGAGAACCAGTGTGGGCGTGTGGGAGACACACTGGTTGGTTGATAGCGGATCGACCACCAAATACGGTGACAAATGAATCATAATGTATAGAAGTTTGTAATTGCGTTAATACACAGTCCCTTCAGGTCGTCTTCTTGTCTTGTGACTATAACCCAGTAGCGTCAGGGCAGGTGAAGAGATACAACAGGTGTAAAGTCGTACTGTCCTCTGCGATTGGAATATGAAGACAGTAAGATGTTTCCCACAGGCGACCAAAGTACCCATATTTATGGAATCAGCGATGATGCCTTCACCCGAGGAAGGACGAGTTAGATAAGGCCCAAAAAACGCACACTCCGATCGTCCAACGGTTGGCCGTGACCGCCGGCACGGTCACGAGTCGTACTGCTCAAAAGTCACCTATTGTGTGCAGCCGCACCAGTGATGAAACACTAACACCTTGTTCCTTGTGCCCTCGCGTTAGGACAACCCCCCCGCAACCAAGCAGGTCAGACTATTGAGTCGTCGGCTCCGGGTCGGGTCACCAAAGAAAACCCTACTGTCTGCTATCTCGCGCGTCAGGCTTTTGAGTCAAAAGCTGGAGACCTGGAAGCTCTCGCCTTATCAAGGGCTGTACTCTTTCACCTTTCCCCTTCAATTTCGTTGATACGATCATGGAAGACTCACTATCAGGCTCTAATAACTGTAAGTTCGAAGTAATCCCGGGGCGTCCGATCACATACATCGAGTACGCAGACGATATAGCTCTTTTTGGATCTGGCCATGTGGTAATGCAAACAATACTAAGTAATCTAAATAACCTCGCCTAACGGTTTGGCATGCGCTTCACACCGACGAAGTGTGAAATGGGTGAATGGGTGGGCTCGGAACCTAGCTGCATGCTTGTGGATGTACCGATTGAGGTAGTAGACGAATTTTTTCTATCTGGGCAGCTGTAGTAGTCCCGGTGGTCTCGCAAAAGCCGATGTTTCTATCCGTATTAGGGAGACCAGTGCAGCTTTCATGAGCCTGGGTCATTCGTGGCGTAAGCGTGACATTAGATTATCCCTCAAGGGTAGATTTTGCAATGGTTTGGCGCGCCCCATATTATACGGATCAGAAATCTGACCGTCGCGCGTTGAGGACGTCAAAAGACTCTCAGTATTTGACCATCGATGTCTTCGGAGCATCGTCCGAATCTGGTGGGAACACCGGATCAGCAATGCTGAATAGCATTCGGAGGAAATAACTCATCCACGATAGATGAACTAATCACACTGCATAAGTTGCGCCGGCTTGGTCATGTACTCCGTATGCCACTCGACTGACTTCCTCGAAGGATCCTATTTGTAGAACCAAGCGAAGGGTGAAAATGAGCCAGAGGCGGTCAAACAATGACTCAGCATCGAAATTTAAAAGCCATCACCAGCAAACTCATCTGCGTTCGTCATTGCGGTCTTCCTGGATGAGCATCCCGAGATGGGCCACACCAATGGCTGGAGACATTGTCAAACATGGCCCAGTCGCATCTTTAATGGCGCTCGTGCACCCAAGCTATTGCCTTCAGTGCATAACTACCTTCCCAATCCCCCCCACATAACAGTCCACTGACTGCTGTATTTACGCATCAATTTACCACCTCTCACCTCCAGTGCGCAGCTATCACACCACCTACCTAAATCATCGGTGGACGATACTAGCAGCTAAAACCACGATAAGTTAAGTACGCAGTTCTTACAGTTGAGGATGGTGATGATGATGATGATGATGATGATGATGATTGCGCCACGGAAAACAAAGCTTGTCTCGGTAGATGGTGTTTTGGCATGTGTAGTACATGGCCGAGACATCGTAGTCGATGGTGCTGGATGTTTTCCACGACTGAATTATGTGCTGCACAGCCAAATGCACCTTCTTTAATCACGCCATCACTAATCCGTTGACGCCATCCAAAACCATCTACACGGCTCAGTGGTTAGAGCACGAATTTAACAATCAGAAGTTCCGTGGTTCGAACCCGACCTCTGCATCTAGACCTCCCCTGTCTATGTTTGGGTAACCTGACAGTATCCCAGCCCTCGTGTCTCCTTCGGGCTCTATGGCAGCTAGGGACCGAAAGAGCTTTACAGCTGAACGATTATCTCTATCTTTTTTATTTTTGGACAAGGTCTGAGCAAGAGCTATCTGTTGACCAATTTGGTGCACAACTCATGCTGCAATGTTGAACAGGTCTCTTGATATTCATAAAGATTTATTTTGATTTAATTTAATGAGCGGAAGCTTCGATATTGAGCATCGGTCAGGTAATTGATCTCTAAGTGAATCAGAATGGCTTGGGAAAAGATTGTTTGGGGGAGAGTGAATTAGTGAAGGGTTGTAAGGGTAGATGATGCTTCCCGGTTGCTCAGGCGGACGAAGGGGTATGTTTGAGCTTTTTTTAAAGAGTCTGATCCACGAGGCAGTGAGGTAACATAGGATTTTGTTCGGGAACCCTGCACCTAGCCTCTTTATTCAAAAGTCTGGACCGCGGTCGTTAGGCCTTTGAGGAATCCAATGACTCACTAGTCTTACCCACTGGGCTGCACAGTGCTGGCCTAGTCTGACAACACAGGAGTAAGGCATTACTCTTTCCTTCCCAGTGCGGTTGCACCCAGCAGATGCTTTTTGATCTGTACCGGACTCTTCCTCAAAGTACTTGGATAGTACGGAATAATATACGGGTGGTCACGGTCAACCGTTCAACGATCTTTGTGCGGTTTGGGGCCGACCTTTTCTAATCTGTCCGGAAGGCAGCCGTTGCTTCCAAGAATACGGAGATGCTAGGTGCCTGAAGGGAACGTCTTACTGCCTTCACACTTCGATCGCCGAAGACAGTATAACTTTACCAGACCTCCATACCGCCTCGTGCTACGATTCCTCGCTTTAAGGGACTCACTATTCTTCGTCAAGCTGCTCACTGTTCCTCCTTGATATGGACACTGAATTCCAGCCTGTAGGGACTGCTGAATGAAAACATGGAGGGGTAAGGGTAAGCAAATTGACGTTTATTCTCCTAACGTTTCAGTTGAATGCAGCGTAACCGGTCTGACAAAAAATAGCGTTTGTTTGCGTGTCTGTAGCTTTTGCGCAGCCAAATACGAACTGTAAGGCACAGCCTACTCCATCCTCTCGGCTTTTGTTCTGACGCTAGTCTTTGGTTGCCTAATATGGTGTTTGGCATTTTGGATGGTTGTTTGTGGAGCTGTTGACTTTCGAAAGATTTTCCAAGTTTCTTCTGGGGCACTTGCAGGTATTCTCTGTGTTGATGTGAACCATTTAACCCCCATTTACCTAAACCAAGAAAACCGCCCACAGGCTGGTTTAGGTGTTGGTGCCTGAGTGCAGGTGTTTTCCCCTTCGATACGTGATGAACACATATCTTCACCTATTGCCTATTCATCCATGCCGCAGAAACAATGGGGTAGGTTCAACTCACAACTCTTCGACTCTATGAGTAGTGTGTTACATCGAGACAACAACTTTTTGCGACATCTCGAATATCGTATCAACTTGAACATGAGGCGGCCTGGTGCGGCGCATCTGAAGCGGGCCAACCCCCATTTACCTAAACCAAGAAAACCGCCCACAGGCTGGTTTAGGTGTTGGTGCCTGAGTGCAGGTGTTTTCCCCTTCGATACGTGATGAACACATATCTTCACCTATTGCCTATTCATCCATGCCGCAGAAACAATGGGGTAGGTTCAACTCACAACTCTTCGACTCTATGAGTAGTGTGTTACATCGAGACAACAACTTTTTGCGACATCTCGAATATCGTATCAACTTGAACATGAGGCGGCCTGGTGCGGCGCATCAAGTTGAAGCGGGCCGTCGTAAACGGGAGACTCAGCTGGATTCAGTTGCGTTTTCTGTCAAAACCGAATTCGTGTAAAAGTGAGAGTATCTGTCAAACTGTCTTCCTCCTTGTCTGTGTGACTGTCCGTTTTTCTTAGTTCATACAACTTCCACCCGCTCAATCCTCAACTTAAGCTTTACTCCTATGTATCCTGAGGTTTTTCCCCATTCGACCTTTTTATATCCACCACGGTGAGTTCTTCGTCTTTCTCTAATTTACCTCTGCATTAAAAAAACAGGCTCCGTTGAGCTCAAGAACCAGGTCTTTAGCTCGTAGCTCTGGATTCGTGCCAAATTCCTCCGGCGAGGAATGTTCATAACTAGGTTTGCAGCCAATCGCCACTTACAGTCAATAGCAGCCGATTCTGATATCATATCAAGTTTACAAAGTTATGTACGCTAAATAAAATGCTTATATTTGGTTGCTCCGACATAAAGCATAGATCTCAACAAAGCTACTGTCGATCGTGCTTGGCAGTCTTCACTTTCTCCACGACTGCAATGCCATGCATATCGGGAATATATATCCCCGGAAGCCTTTAGTAACGTTTATGAGAATTGTTTAAAATGGGCACCGTTTGAGTACCACTAATGCTTTGTTCTTCCAGGTAGTTGTACACAATGGTATTTTGTACAGAACACTCCTCTTCTACCAACCGAGTGGTCATTCGCGAACATTAGTTATCGAAGTTTCGGTTTCCGGAGAGTAAGTGGGAACATCGAATCAAGCTCCACGATTGCCCACAAGTTACGGATGTCGCGAATTATTCGATCAGTAGCCTGTGCTGTATCCGGAGGGGTCGACAGTGCGGTATCTGCTTACTTGCTAAAACGTAATGGTATGTTCTCAACTGCTAATTCATCTTGTTCAGGTTTCCAAGTAACAGGCGTATTTATGACAAACTGGGATCCTTTGGATGAAGGAGTGCAATGCTCTGTGAGTGCTGATCGTAATGATGCCAAGCTCGTCTGTGAACGACTCGATATACCATTCCTAGAATTGAACTTTGTGCGGGAATATTGGATTTATGTCTTCCAGTAAGCTGTTGTGACTTACCTTATTGATGTTCCGATCCTCGAAAGACCACTTCTTCGGTCTTACGAACGTGGATGTACTCCAAACCCAGATGTACTTTGTAATCGTTTTGTCAAGTTCAATTTTTTGGCAAAGAAACTTCTGCGAGTTGAGGGCAACTCGGGGAGCGCTTCGGCAGACGATCAAGAAACCCCGCCGGTCCGTGTGGATGCTATCGCGACGGGTCATTATTGTCAAACTTCCTTTCAAACAAGGCCCGATGGGGAATCTTGCCTCCTCCGTAGTGTCGATAGTGTTAAGGATCAAACATTCTGGCTTTCAACCGTAAGTGGTTTACTTCTGTAAGCATAGCCTTAACTCAGGTGCTGCCGTAGCTTTTTACATTGAACAAACCAAGGTTTAGTAAAGTGTATTCAATATGAAGTGTCAGCAATTTCCATCTATTCGCTCTTCTATCCAAAGTCCACTTTAGTTTATCAATGTTCGTGATTATATATTTGCAAAGTTACGTTTTTGATGAATGCACTAGCCTTTGGATGAAAAGTATCCCATCAAGGAACAGTGCTTTGTAGATCTCAAACGGGATGTCCCTCAACCCTAAGACCCCCCGCGCAGAATCTCTTACACAAGATTGACAGTGTACGGCGTTCGAAACTAAGAGACTGTCTTCCTTTCTTAACAAGGACTAACCTGTTCTATCCTGCATATCGCATCAACATCCAACGACTACTTCATTTGATTCGTTTTTGTAACTCCCTTCTGGCTGATGTACAGATGAGTGCTTTGGCATCCACTCAATTTATCAGCTATAAACCATGGCCCATAGGCACAATGGTTCCAGCTGCTACAGTTTCGATCACCGGGAAAGGAAAGAGTGTAGGACATACAGCTAAGCCTTGGTTAGTTCGGGAACTTGGTAGCTACGTATTGAAGGCGATAGCTTTGATGCACAAGCTCCATTGATTGTAGGATTGGGCCGTTCCTGCCAATGTTATAAAAAATCGTTCAGCTATCGCGTCCTTTCAGTGTCTAACTGCCAGGCTACCAGAAGGAAGCACGATGGATGAGATACTTCCAGGTTGCCCAAACCTAGATAGGTCCAAAGTCATTGGTAAGTTGAGTCTCGTGATCCCGTCCAGGAAGGCGGCATTTGCCGACCGGACTAAGTTCAGTGTTTGGTGTTTTCGTACTTCGTGGCCAGGTCATACTCTGTCCACCTCTCATTTGCTTCCACTGGGCAGAAAGAACTCTGCGACGCAGACGGTCTTCTGGCATGCGGAGTACATGTCCTAACCAGCGTAACCTACGAAGCACGAGTAATCCATCTATCACGGGAAACTTTCATCTTTTTCAAGACCCTCTGGCCTACCTCAGCATTACTGATTCGATGTTCCCACCAGACTTAACCAAAGCTTTGGGAACACGGATGACCAAGTACTGACATCTTTCGTATGTCCTCTGCGCGTAAGAGTCAAGCTTCTGATCCATGAAACAGTATGGATCGCACCACTGTAGTGTAAACTCTGCCCTTGACAGACAAACTGACGTCACGTCGGCGACATAAGTGTTGGCGGTTGGAGAAAGCTGCTGCGGCCTTTCCGATTCGAGTAATAATCTCAGTTATCATTTATTTTTGAAGAGCATGGTCACAAGCATAAAAAGTGAGTGCAAGCGATGAATGCGAAAGAGTAACAGGAGAATATGGGAGAAAAGAGAGAAACGTCTCATTCGAGATCATGCCAAGGGCAGCGCCAGTCTGATGAGGTGAATCCCAAAGTATGTAAAGATTTTGTTATGGGAACACGCGTCTAAAGACCAACAACCAAAGAAAGGACAAACAATGGTGAATGCTCCTCAAGGCGCAGTGTGCGCTAGCACAGTCAAGACTCGCATATCAGGCACAAAGTGACCGTCATACTGGGTCTGGTGTGAAATTAAATGGCGAAAATGTACCTTCAACGCCATGTGCCACGCATAAAAGTGTCATAATACGCAGGGAGCCCACAATGGCAAGCAAACACAAGTCACTGACTGCGACCTTAGGAAGTCCCAGTCCAATAACAGCCTTGGCGGATTGAGGAAAGCAGATCCCTCGATGAGAGATGATCATCGGTTGGTGAACCAAAAAGTCGATATCACAACCGATGGCATGTAGGGCTGAGATTATGACGAGGGAATGTTCATCAGCACCATACTTCTGCTCCTTCTCATTCCACACTATCACTCCACGCCCATCCGAGACTAGGGGCTCTCAACTCCTCGAAGACGGTGTACCCCAGTCGACGGAGACGTTTTGCAAGTTCCCTTGCAACCCGATTATGACGAGCACATCTGGCGTCATGCGTAATCCAGCAGGATTGCAAAATATGCACCAAACTCTCCGGTTGGCCACAGTTTCCACGACATAAGATTAACTGGCCACCATGACCATGCCGAGCGCTTCTAACTCTCGTCCTAAGCAGGTTGCATCGGAGCTGGATACCGTGGATAAATATCCGTGGAAACACTCGTTCTGGGAATACGAGCCATCGATTCGAGAGAGGCGAAGTGACCAACTCTCGTAAACCTCCAGCCAGTCCACGGTACTCATGTAGCTGCCCAGGTAAACAAATGTATCTATCACGTCGATTAGCTCGCCTGCAAAAATGAGGTTGGGTTTGATCCGACGCAGTATTTTAGCAGCACTTTACACTTTGCAGGTGTGAAACGCATGCTAAACTGTGACATAGTTATTTAGGTTATTCAAAATCCTCCGCATTTGGGAAAGATCTGATCCAAGGAAAGCAATATCGTCAATGTCTTTGAGAGAACATCCTGGCAGCATTTCGACTTCGGAGGTTCCAGAGGCAGGCAGGGCAATTACAAGCAACATATCAATAACAAAGTTGAAGAGCAAAGGTGAGGGAGGCCAGCCTTGTCTTACACCACTGGATGTGGTGAGAGTTTGCCGTATACTCGTGCGCGCCCACAGGAGTTCGCATCATAAGGGAGAGTGATTTGAAAGGGACACCTTTGGTCTCTAGGCACTACCAAAGTTGCTGACAATCGACGGAATCAAAAACAGTTTTCAACTCAAGAAAAACTATCAACGTTGGACGTCTGAAGCAGTGGCGCTGTTCACAAATTTGTCTCAGGGTAAAGATATGGTCGATGAATCCTCGACGAGGGCGAAACCCAGCTTGGTTCTCATGAATCAGTCGCTCCCGATAATCCATCAACCTGCACAAAATAATGCCAGAGAGCACTTTAGATGCGACGGATACCGGGATGGTATCACAATGGTTTTCACATGATGTTCTTGCGTCCCTTTTGAAAACTGAGATGACGGTCGAGGACCTCCATTCGGCTGATATTCTGTTTTCGTTTCCAATTTTCTGCAGTATGGTCGTCAAACTGTTCACCAGGGCCTCGCCACTTTTGAAGAGTGCAGTGTGTAGACCATCCAGGCCAGGTGCCATGACGCGCTTCAGGATTGATATCTGATGCTGGATTTCAGTTGCTTATGGTGGATTGGTGTCCATATACCCGCCTGGTTCTTCCAGCGGTTGTGTTGATTGGGACTAGCTGAACTGATCTTTGAAGTGTTCAGCTCATGGCTCAAGACAACGAACGAGGGATTTAATTGCTGTTCCGTCTTCTTTGCATATTGTTCCAGTGATACCTGCCTTTTGACCGGTTGATCGAATCAGTTGACACAGGGCGTGGTTGTTGCCTGCAGCGAAAGCCTTCTACATCTCCTGGGGCTTCGAAATACACTAGCGCTCTCTGCCATTCTTCAAGCTCCTGATTTTCCGGATCTTCGTGCACCACCATAGTCATTAGTTACTGGTATGGGCTTTCTGGTACCAGTAAGATCTGCCGATCTCGAAGATATCCATTTCTCATATAGTCGAGTTAGGTAGCCTTTCCAGTTTTGAAAGCTGGAAGCATTGCTTCTTCAACTCGCCTATGTTTGACCTCTAAAAACCTTCGTCATCTGCATGACTATCCGTTTTCAGTAGCTTTATAGCCAGATCAACTCGATACTCTTCAGCTACTGAAATTGTCGAAGTTGATGAACGCAGCTTCTCCCCTTTGGCACGCATTATGCTGGCGGAAAGCGAATTGCCAACAGGGTGCGCACGATGGCGTGATCAAAGTCAAGTTGGAACGACAATCCTCAACTGAGGCTCTCCATCGATAACTGATAATCACATGGTTCAACTGAGTCCACGGCTGTCTTGTGATATGTTGCCTCTTGGTGTGAGCGTTTATGTTGGAATTTCGTGCTCGCCTGGAACGATAATCTGGAAAAGCTGCTTTCCACTACCCGTACGTTCGGCATCGACTCCAAATCTACCACATAACTGTGCCTCTTCCGGACTTCTTCGTCTAACTTCGGTATTCATATCACCCTCCAGGATTAGTATATCCGCCCTTCTTGCCGACCGAAGCAGTCGTGACCTATCTTGATAAAACTCGCACTTCTCAGTCCCGGAACTGCTATCTTTTGGGGCGTATGCTGATACGATAAACAAACATCGCTTACCGCATCAGCCTGCTGTAATTTTAATTAAACCAGACAACCGCACAGCTTTAAGGTGACTTTACTGGGATCCAGTCCAGTAAGACACTTTCAGTTTTGCGTGCAACTCCCACATCGTAGACACCATTATCCATCACCTCAGGATACCCGAAGAGTGAAATGTGGAGTATCTGAGCACGTCTTAGGCGGCCTGAAAACCACGAGTGAAGTTGGGTCTTGTATGTGTGTTTCAGAGACAACACACATCGATGGAAAGAGAAAGCAAGGCTTCAGTAAGGGATTCCTGTTGCCCATTTTGACGTAGAGTACGGACATTAAACACTGTAACGTGGATTTGATCTTTTGAGGTCAGGTTTATTTTTATGGGCGAATATTTAGACATAGAATAGCGCCTAGGGTGTTGGTAGATGGGTTGATTGCACCGCACTGTACGATGAATGAGGAGGGAGTGTGCAAGGACGCTGGTAAGCGAAAAGCTGCAAGGGCAAATGGTACTTCCCGATTACCTAGGTCGAAGAAACTGGTTGGTTGAGGTGACCGACCCTGAGCCAATGACTCAATATTCTGACCCACTTGGCTGCAGGGGGCCGACTTGGCCCGAGGGTGCAGAGATTAAGACATTACTGTTTCACTCCTAGTGCAGCTGCGCACAGCAGGTCCCTTTTGAGCAGCGCGGAACCCTTTGGTTTTAAAAGTATTTCGACCGTATCAAATAATGCGCCGGTGGTCACGATTAATTGTTGGGCGATCAAAGTGTATGGTTTTTGGAGCCGATATTTTTTTAACTCGTCCTTCCTCAAGGGAAGGCAGGACCGCCGGTTCCGTAAATATGGACATGCTGGTCGCCTGGGGGAAACGCCTTACTGCCTTCACATTCCTATCGCAGAGGACACTACAACTTTACACCCAGACCACCTCGTAAAACGATTACTTTCAGTAAGGGGGCTTCATCTGGCTGCTCCTTTTTCTTGCCTTACTGGCATGTTTGAACCTTTAAGGACTGAGTTCCAGCCAGTGTAGCCTGCAGGATCATCACAACACAGAAGTTCGACCACCACGACAAGATGACTGCTTCAGGTTTGGGCTTTGGCAGCCTGAAAGCTCAGAAGTGTGTGAAGTGTGAAGTGAGTCATGTTGGGCACTGCACAGGGGTACCAGGTTCTTTTCTGATCTTTCCTTATTCCATATGTGTCTCAGCTGTCCGCCCCTTGCTGCATTGTCAGAGCCAAGCGTTTTTTACTTGCAGACAGCGTGCACATACTTGCAGATGGAATGTTTGATGGCACGATAGCCCTTGAACCACGGTCGCTTTGATTTTTTAACTCACCTGGTTTGTCGTCAGTAGGAAGATTTAGCAGAGGGATGTGTGTGTATGATTAAGCGCTGACTAAGCTTTTGACAAACTCGAGGAATAGATGTGGAGAAACTGAAACCTGAGGTCAAGCTAGACCTGCACCAGGCGATGGTCCTATCTGTCTTGTTATTCGGCACTAAAAAGCTGACTATATCCCGCTGGAACATTTGATACGTAAGCCTTTTTTAGGTACATGTTTGTTGTTTGCACTGCTTAAGGCGGATGCAAGGTGTTCACTAGAGTGAACGAGTACCAGACACGGAGGTCCTTGGAGGACACTGTAATAAAGGCCACAATCAACTCAACAGTCCGCAGTAGCTGAGCCGTGTATACCGAGTGGATGGGAATGGGGTTCCTGTGCAGTCCGTCAATGGTCAGCTGAGTACGAAGAACCCAAACAAAAGCTTCGATATCTGAACACCTCGTTTGAAAGTCTGAAGGGTGCTAACGTGGATGTCGCGAAAGTGCGAACAAGACGGCATGTGGAGAAATGAGACTAACCGGAGTTCGTTGATTCAACGATCTCTAACTTCGGGCCAAAGAGCTGTGAACAGAACAAAGTGGATCCTCAGTGGTTGTGACCGTATTTGGGCTGATCGCATCGAACTGGTTGACCACCAACTGACTGACAGTGATCCGTCGGAAAGATGTCGGCTGATAAAGTAAGTTTCCCGGTTACCTGGTAGCTAGGCCTGCGACGGTGCTATAATTAACTTCCCGCAACCATTGATGTGTGGACACACTGAACACTAAAATCCTAAAATTGTGATGGTGGTCGAAACGACTTTTTTATGAAGGCAACCCATGGCTAACTACGGGACGTAATGCCAGTGAATGCTGGCTTCGGCGCATTAACGGGTCATCAGCTTATCCGAAGTATTCAACACTGTATTCAATAAGTGTGTTGTCCTCATGTGTCCACAAATCAATATCCACATGCAATTGATGGCCCGGAGTATCAAACTCAATACGATGCTGAATGCACTTTTCTGTGACTATCGTTCTTCGGACCAAGTTGAATGATGGCTAGCCATGGTCATGTGTGTGCCTTGAGTGAGTCTTTTGGCTGGTGCCGGCTACCAAGCCACCTCATACCTACATTGTGTGTTTCAGTCGTCCCAAAATTAGCACTAATGGGAGGCCGTTTGGGCATAATGACGTCTTGTGGTATTACATATTGTGCGTAAGGTCCATCGGTGTAGTCCGATGTGACAGGCCAATCTAGAAGTGGATGGTAGCCTGTCATATACAACGAATCCGAACTCTGCCTCTCGACTTCCCCTGTCTAGGCTTGGACAATCTGTCAGTATCCCAGCCCTCGTGCAAACTTCGGGTGGCATGGCAGTTAGACATTGAATAGGTGCTACGGCTGAACGATTTAAACACAACACGCGCACCAATGTCAGTTCCCCTAATGACCATTGGATCCCGGTGGTTATTTTGTCTGTACCTTGTGTTTCTCACATTGCTGAAAGTTTTCGCTCCCAACAGGAGTAGCGTGTGTTTAATAACCCACATGTCTTCACTGTTCGGTTGTTAACCTCCATCACCTTAGCCCAACTTTTAATATCCAGTGCTTATCCGAAAGATCTCCTCTTCCAGCCCATATACTGAATCGTTTTTCTTGTCCTGCTGTTTGCGATTGCCTCTACATTCCCCTGTTAATATGTTCGACATCTATTTCATGTTCTCAGATTTCACACAAACATTTGCGACACTTCATGTTTCCGGTTGGTGGCTTGCTAAAGCCCGTGGTCAAACAGATTGCAACAGACATTGGTCTTTCTTCCATAGCGAAACGTCGAGAAGTAAGCACCTGGTTTCATAAAATGAACTTCATATTCAGGAATTCCCATTTCCTTCATTGGATTCATTTCATGGAAACCACTTAATCGTCTGTCGTTTTATCCATCTTTAGGAAACCGAGTCCGCAATTCATGGATCTTCCATTCGACCAATTGGTCGAATCTTCAGTTCATCAAATATGCAACCCTCTAAGTCTTTTCTCTAATTACCTTCAGTTAGCTGAACCTCAAAATTGGTGTTAGACACAGGAGGTGCAACGTATTCTGACAAACATGCAAATCTCTGAACTTCAGCAGGGTTATCCGTCCATTCGACAAGTGGTTTTAACTTTCATTTGCACACGAATTTGGTTTTGACAGGAGACCCAGCTAACTCTCTCGTTTACGGTGGTCCGCTTCAACTGAATGTTACACCAGGCTGCTTCATATTTTATTTGATACGGTTTTTGAGATATCTCAATGCGTTGTTCTCTACACGTAACACGCCATCATAAACGAGCGATTCAGATGGATACAGTTGCGCCTCTTGTCAAAACCAAATGAGAGTATTTGTCGAAGTCTTCCAATTTAGGTTCAAGTAGAACATAAGTTTACTGGAAACCCGGGGACTACGCCCACCTGGTGAGCCCCAAGGAGAACGAAACCGGTCGTCGGCTGTCGTACGGCTTTCGGCAACCTTGTGAGTAGTGTAGTACGTCCAGGGTTATTAGGTACTTCTAAGTTGGTGCTCTGCTTCGAGTTTTTGTGGGCTCTTCAACTGTCCCTGTCCACTCACTTGTTAACCGGTACCTTTCATCTACCGGAGAGTTGGACTTCATCTAGCATGAGGTACTGGCGCCGTCGCTCGAATGTGCCCGCTGGGAATTGTGAGGTCTAGGGACAGACCCAGACAGGATACGCACAGAAGTGTGTGTACATGAGTACTAGTGCTTCGACGAAGTTGGTTGGGTTGTACCGCAAGCAGGGGTTCTGGTTCTGAGTAATGATTTGGATTTGTTTTCGCAGTGCTCGTTAATATCCGACATTGGACATCGGTACGAGATGGCCCAAGTGGTTAGAGCGCGAATTTACTGATCGGAAGGTCCGTGGTTCGAAACCGGCCCAAGCTTGGGCGACCTGGTAGTATCCCAGCCCTCGTGCTTCCTTCGGGTAGCATGGCAGCTGGGCACCGGAAGGGTGTTACAGCCAACGATTTTTATCTCATTTTTTCGGACCGTCCGGCAAGCGTTCGGTGGCCCCTTCTGATAGGTTTGTTTGATTTCATGGTCCACTAGCTTCTCAATGGCTAAGCTACGTGTGTGCGTTTTGCTTAGACTTGTGAGGAGCAAAGACTCTTGACACCGACATCTGACGATGATGTGGTCTATTTAGATTGGTGACTGGTTCGTTAATGGGCACCACCTTGTCAAGCAATTCCCACTGTTCGGGAAACAGGTATTCCAAAGGAACGATCTGTGATTGGTACGCATCTGAAGCAGGCGATCTTTGTTGTCCGTGTTCCTCGTGTACAATTTCAGACGGCCACCAAATCTGGCCTCAGCAACGCCTAGTTTAATCTACCTGGGCGTTCATGTCACCAGCAACTGCAACGATGTCTGAGCTTTTAACCTGTTGTGAAAGAGCTCCCAGATCATCCTAGAAACTGTCTCTGGCAGATTCAGGGCTACTTTCAGTTGATGCGTAAGCGGACAAATAAGCTGCGATGAACCTCACTTTATCTACATTCTCTCGCAGTCACTGTCAAACGAACCACTCAGATGCGGTTATCAACGGATATCGACTCAAGCAGAGTCGCTTCCGCTCGTTCGCTCAGTACAAAACCCACGGCGACCTACCCAGGTGCAGCGGTCTCTGCGTCACCAGAGGTGCACAGCCGTCAACTGAAAGAGAGCAGGGGGCAATCAGTTCAATCACAGTACTTGGATCTTGTATCCTTGTTTCTGATAGACAGCATACACCACTGCAGATGGAATCCAGCGTGCGAGCAAGAGGCACCTGTTGTCCAGCTTGCTTCAGTGTGCGAACATTGAAGGTGGCTAGGTAGACAGGCTTTCGGGGTTTGAAAACAGACATCTACGTGTTTAGGTTTGTTACTGAATCCGGATGTGCGGAAGCTGTAGCGGAGTGATGCAGGGCGAACAGAGGGGTCGTTCGTTGTGCTGGTACCTGTAGAGAGTGTATTTAACTTCGGGTGTGATAAGGTGGAATAGACAAAACGTGGTTGTGTTAAACGGAAGCGCATATCTTCGCCTTATCGCCCTTCTGTATGCAACAAATAAGCCAACGCGGCTGGTGACACCACGCGATGGCCGGTCTTGCATGAGAGTATTGTTAGTTGTGAATGTTATGGTTGTACGTGGGCTGGAATACTGCCAGTGCATTCAGACCTCGACGGGAGGACGATGAGGGTCCTCGACCAGAGCCTTTGGCTCAAAATTTTGGCGGCAATGCATCGGTGCTTAGCGGGAAATGCGAGCGCATTACCACATTTATAGTACAAATCGCCGTACGTGTTCTAACCCTCAACATGAAGAGCCAGAAGACTCGGTTGGTCAGACCTCTAACCATTGACCAACCCCGTATGAGAGACTCTCTGTCGGACAGACACCACCCAGTATATCTCAGTGGGTTACGGAACACCACAAACCGTCACACTACGGTAATGTCTAGTCTCTTCGTGATGGACTTTACGAGGAAGTACCAAGCATATCGAAGTTCTATCAGCCGTTTGCTGAAGTGTTTCTGAAACCCACTCGGAAGTTTCTATTGACACGGCGCGTTGAAGCGTTTCCCATATAACGGGATTCAACCATCGAATTTGACGAATACGCATCGAAGCGCACGAAATTTTCGCCCCTATGGAATTGAAAACTCTTCCATAGTTCGTGATCAGGAACCGTATTCGCACAGCAGGACGTAAATCGGCTTGTCAAAGATGTTGTGTTAGAAACGGAAACTTCAGTCACTTTCTGTGCGGACGACGAAAAATGCGTTCTCCTTAGTATGAAGAGTAGAAAGAAATGAAGACAAGGTGATTAATGGTTGCGTTGTTCGCCACCAAACAATCTGCATAGTTCGGTAGTGATGTGTAGTTGTGTAGTAGTATCCTGAAGGTCGAGGTTTCTTGACTTCCAGTGCTTCTAGTGCTAGTATGAGCACTCTCGAACCGTTAAGTATTTTACCAGTCATTTTTTATAACAATTTTGGACCCAGTTTAGTCCATGATGCATATTACCCTGAGAATCTTGGGGATTAGGTGAGTTTCTGTCTCCATGAGAAGAATGACCTTAGCGGGGTCGAAAATGAAGGCGTGAGAAGATAGTTTCGTATCGCGGTCAAACGTATTGGAGTTTTGGTCATACAGACCTTCCTGGAAGGGGCTTCCGCACATCAATTTCTTCGTCAGAGAACCAATGCTGTTATCCATATAGACCGAAACCAACTATGTCATCTTGAGGACCTTTCGTTTTTTCTGATTGCAACTCAAAAAATTTCCAGGTTATTAGTTCGCTTCGAAGGGTCTATTTGAAACCAACTATGTCATCTTGAGGACCTTTCGTTTTTTCTGATTGCAACTCAAAAAATTTCCAGGTTATTAGTTCGCTTCGAACATTGGGGTCTATTTCTTCCTGTTTTCTTTAGAGCATGGGGATGTGCTTCATCGGAAAGCGACGTTTCGCCGAATTCATCGATAGTGTGAGTTGTCCTTCGTTCCTTAAATTTACACGTCTGAGTTTCATTTAATGTCACGTTAGTTGTTTGGTTAAATTGATTACGATCAGTCTTTGTGGTGGCTTTGTATGCGCGCAGACTCCCACCAAGCCCTCCCTCTTGAAGAGATTGGCGGTAATTTTTTCATGAAATTTTGTTTTTTTTTTTCAAAGCGCCGAACAGCTGATTCGTCCTGGGGCCCGTCGGCTGATGTGTTTGTTTGGCTACTTTATTATAAGATTAAACTTTAGCCAAAAACACCGACTACCAGAATGATACTTGTGAGAACACACTCAGATCCACGCTACTCAAACAATTTAAGTGGGACTAACGATGCATCCTCAGTGTCTGACGGAAACAAAGAACTGCTGACAATGGCAGAATCTTGGATGTAAAGGCGTAATCCCAATCGTTACGGCGTGTCATTAATCGAAATTGGCAACGAAAAAGCCATCGGACTGTGCAACCTCGAGTTGTAACTATACGCTCTTCTCGCACCTGGATTTCGTTCATTCCTTTTTCCAATGCAACCTAGTGTTCATCATGGACTGACGATAGTACAAACGATGTCGTCGATCGGGACGCTATCGTTTGGAGGGTAGCGGAATACTGTCACCAAGCAGTTATCTTTGCAATAGAGTGGTGATCTGCATAAAGATGTCTCTCATAGATCAGGATGGTGGATTCGCTTAAGGATCGCGTTACGATACCGTATCGAGTCATTTCCAGACCATTTATGTCTGGAATTATCTGTTTCTTACGGCTATGTGGTCGTATAGGCAGTTTACGACGAAGTTGTAACTCGATGTGCTTGCTACGTGATCCTTGGACGTCCTTATAGCAGGGGAGGAAGAGAACCAGGGTCAAAATTAAAAATCCCCAATGTTAGCATAAAGAACCCGTTACTTTATGGCTCAGTCCGTCTGATTTCTTCGAACCTTCCCTCGTGCACGACAGGAGTGAAAGCCTGAGCAGCGTTATCCTCGGGCAGTGCTCCTGAACTCATATTCGAGACGTAGGATCACCGAATCCGCAGGTTGGTGAAGTTTTAGATATTTCTTCCAGGCCTTAAATGCACCCGTCCGTTCTAGCGGTTTAAGTTCCACAACCATTTCAGATGAATTAGCCCATAATATATGGCTTATATTAGGCATCCAGACCAAAGTAGCTAGCCTTAGGATCAGGGCGGTTCGGTACTTGTCGATCTAGGGGATACTTGGGTTACTTATGTTATGTATTTGGTAAGTAACGTATCTGCTGACCGACATAATGGAGTGGTAATTCAAAGTTGGCAACAGTCCACCCCACTTGATGCGAGTTCTTGAAAATGTGGTGAGTAATTGTGCTCTGAAACCCTCAGGATGTGAACGTGTCGTCTCATTCAATCTACCGTTTTTCGGTTGTGGTGCGACTGCGTTGTTGAATCAGACACCTTCCAGCGGTTTTGCTTTAGGCTAGGCTTGCTTTTCGCCGTAGCTGAAGGTGTACTTTGTGATTGTATTTTCCATGTTTCAGTACATTGCTCCGAAAGCTGGTTTGTTCAAGGACTTTGAAACCGGAATAGTTTTGGACGAACATCAAGGTAGGTAACGAATGCCCATTGGAGATTTCTACCATAATTTATCGCTATTGCTTATGCTTGTTTATCTTGTGAATCCTATACGGATTTAGACATTTAAATGACCAATTGCTTGCGTGTATCTCTGAAAGCATAATCTCCCCACGGTGGCAGGATCCCCTTTGGTGTATTATCACTGGTGTGATATTTTAGCTCAGGTGTATTCACTGTTTAGCTATACCCGACGTAGAATTTTTCGCCGCCTGGAAATCGCTTCCTGCTGGCCATACCTAAAGTTCGGAATTTTTTCCTTTCCCATTGTGACAAGACCATTTTCAACGGCTATTTCTATTCTTTTACGACCGTTCACAGGTATTCATCATTTCACTCTGGGACAGCGCGCAACTATTACCCGCGCCACTGGCCCCTTCTACGTGTCTCGCATGGATTTTGATACACAAGATATTTATGTGGTAAGTTGGACCACAGGTTTATTGTCAAATTGATGTAGCCTCGACATCGGATTCCCAGTTAGTCCCTTTTTACAAAAGGGGCGGGTTCCATACTGTCCGGTAGTTGCCATAAAATGTGCTTTATTGGACAGGACAGAAATGCAGGCAATTGCATATGGGCCGTACTTTATCGCTTGGTAGGTAGCATGTCTGTTTAAACCAGATCTACACTGGCCCTAACAAATCGCTAATCGATGTGGCTAAGCTGGTTCTATCTTAGGGCTCTATCTTAGAGCTTGGCCACTAAGGGCCGTCCGCAGATTTACCAGCGTGGGGTTGGAGTGGACGCCGGGTGCGGACTGATGTACTATCCGCAGTGGCTCAGGCGTTACAACACTTCTAGCGAACAGAGGTTGCAACTTGAATTCTGCCTCCGGTGTCCTTCTGTTCGCTGAACGTGTCTCTGCACCGACCTACAAAGGCCAGAAGGTTATAATTCTTTAAACCATCGTACACTAACTATACTTTTCGAGAAACAGGTCTCATTATAGGCCACATCGATGATAGCTTCTGCGTTGATATGCATTTGCTTGCGATTACAATTAGTAAGAGGTGTGGGGAACATTACTGTCAACCTACACAATTCTCTGCCATGTATATTGGAACATTGTGGATGACTCCATTGTCCAAATATTATTATATTTTTGTTTGCAGTGAAGCCACAGCTGAGGAGGGTCTGTACCCACTGTTCTTAACTTTTTCAAACTTCAGCGAATGACTCCACAGGATCCTCAAGCTTCTACTAGAGGTGCGAACGTTTTGATTTACCAGCGATGCGGCTGACTATTCCAACAAATGCTCCAATAATTGACTGAAAACACTGGTCACCAGGACCTCATGACCCAACCGGTCCGACATCTAACATGGCAACTAAGCACAAAACAGTCAAGTGTTCTTCCATGGTATCCAGGACGTGTAGTTAGACAAAAGCGCTTCGCATCCCGTATGTAGCCAAAGACGTGAAGTCAAGTGATGAAACTCACCACTGTTGCTGAAGGCGAACCTCAACTATGGTAGATTATGACCGTACAGGTGCTAAGTGATTGCTTCAGAGCTTTTCAAATGAAGGTGCCGTAAACTAGACTTTCAAAAAAGCTGACCATCCACACTTGGGCTCATTCTTTGGTTACAGCTGCTCATAATGGTTTAAGCTGTTTGACCGGGAACTTTCGAAAACTGCGCTGTAGGCATGTCGGGAGCTGTCGTTAATGCAATCACCGCTTATGGGCGTGCGTGTCATCACCTCGTTTCCTTGTTTGCTTCCAATTGCCCGTGCGTTTTAGCCGGAATTCCCACAGTTTGTTCTTTGTGTTCGGTAACCTACTTATTCCTTTTTCACAGGTGCGTGATCCGTACCACTCAAGTCTTTTCATGCGCCGATGTTGGACCGGACCAGCAGTTTGGATCAACTCGACACCACCTGAACTACCATCAGATCAACTGGAATTTCAGTGGCAAAACAAATGGCGTGCTATCCGATGCAAAATCCAACCTCATCCCCATCTGATACAGGCAGCCACCGAGGTGCATCCACTGGGCGCAAAGTTACCGGCCGAATATGTCGGGTCACACCTAGTAGATGTGATTGATGCAGACTGTGAAGACGGTCGTCCCGTTGGTCCTTATCTTTCGATAGAACTGGACGAACCCATGCGCTGTGTGGCTGCCGGTCAGTGGGCCGCTTTGTACAAAGGACACCAATGTCTCGGGGGTGCCCTAATATGCGGTTCGGTTAGCCTGTGGGACGAGGGTCGGCGCCAGCCATATATCGATTGGAACATAGCTGACTACGAACTGGACTACAGAGGTTTGGGTAGGCAGAAAATTCGAGCTGATTTGTAGATACTGTATATAATGCATAAGGTGTAGTACATATTTTTTTCCTGACTTAACATTTTTTTTCGAGCTGATTTGTAGATACTGTATATAATGCATAAGGTGTAGTACATATTTTTTTCCTGACTTCAACATTTTTTGTTGATGTTCCTCCTGGTCGGACGAGAGTCGGTTGGTAATACTACTGCTTTAGGTTTAAGGTGACAGATTTTTGAAATTTTCTCAGCAGACATATCGGGCACTCGAAGAGCAAAATAATTTTCCAAACATCACTTGACCTCCAACTTCGTTGTAAAAGTTGCCTGAAATAAGACAACCAGTGTTTTTTTTTCAAGCAATCGCAAAATCGATGCCACACCAGACTTAACAAGACGTGGACCGTGTAGTGGATGAAACTAATTAACAAAATGTTTGGCAGAACATACTACTCGTAAGGTTGCCGAAAACTCAAGTCTCCTTCACCAATTACAGTTCCATGCATCTAGCCCCTGTGGACGTTCCCCATCAGTAGTTTCTTATTTGTATATTCCTTCTCCAATTCAACCGGATGCTAAATCCGATCTACACGTGCTTTTTGGAAGACTTCTAGACTTCCCGTCATGCAGGTTCATGTTCTAACGATCAGCGACCACTCTATTCTTGTTAAGACCACTGACCCACGGTGTATATTTGCTCTGAAGTTCCACCAGTACAGAATGGATTCATTCACTAGCATTTACTTCCACAAGTCCGAGTTTTCACATCCCCACGGACGTCGATGTGTGGTATAGTACTACTGTCAGCAGTTTTTTGCCCGTCAGTTAATTGCTTTCTAAAGTTGTACTGCGAATTCGATGATCAAAAGTGACGAGATAGTCTGGATGTAGGGGAAATTTGTCTGCTCTTCTGCCAAATTTGATACTCAATGACTCAGATTGTTTCCCAAGGAAATATCCTCAAATGAATGTGCAGCAGACAGTTTTACTGATTTTGTTTGTGGGTAGTTTCCCAAAAATGATGGGCTTGTTGTGCGGCATACAGACCCGAGTCTGTCATTGACGATTATGTTGAATTAGCTACTATCAGGAAGGCCAGATTCGTGAAAGCAACTACCGAATGCCCGAAATCTGCTAAGACTCTCAGCTCCACTAGATATTGACGACTGACAAAGCCCCCCCAGTATGCGCCGCTTCAGACTTTGTGAAACCCAGACAGCGTGAGTCAGCGTTGGTCGAGGTCAGACAACGCCCCCGCAATATGCAGCACGTCGCAGCCTCGTACCAAAGCCAGACCGTTTGCGTCAGCACTGGGCGAAGTTAGACAGTGTTCCTCCAATAAATGGCTTGAGACCGTCGTATTCTCACTCTCGCTTGTTTCCAAAGCCAGACCGTTTGCGTCAGCATTGGGCGAAGTTAGACAGTGTCCCTTCAATAAATGGCTTGAGACCGTATTCTCACTCCCGCACTCGCTTGTTTGAATATAGTTGTTGTGTCCCTTCTGAGTCCTTTTTCCGACACTAGGCACTGGAGCGGGCAAGATACAACAGATTAGCGAAACAACAGATATAACAACTTCCTACTACAATGGATGCAAGTTACAGCAACTCGGGTATCCATATACAGTTCAGAAAGTGAAGACTGTTGCGTATTGAAACTCGTATGGGTCTTTGGCTTGCCAATCCACCCCGTCGTGTATATCGAAATGCACGGTGGTATGAGAGCTTTAAATGAAGACCAAACAAGGTTGTTACAACCTTATTAATCAAGTTACCACACAATTTTATGACGCTGAGCCGGAATCTTCCTGATAGGGAGCGAAGCGCCGAACTGGAAATTCTCCATTTTGACTAACCCATATCCTGACCAATCAGGGCATATCTTCTGGTATGCAGTCGATTCGCGCCATTTGTCCAATCTATGTGGTGCTCGGTTATTACGAGCAATTGGCTTACAAACGTTCGTGCAAATTGGTGGCGCCAGTGTTATTCGCATTCCAGGACGGTATATACATGAGGCTCTCTGTGTACATTGCGTTCTCGCTATCAGCTTGTATCCAGATGTGTGCGTTTCGAGGCTTAGGTACGTCGAATGTCCCCTAAGTCATTTCGATGGCAGTCTTTCCTCATGGAACTATAATCGAAACGTGGACTGCGAAAATACAGTCCCCTTTAACATCAGAAGTACCCGAATGTATATTTCTACCCAAATGTCTTTGTGCTCCTGATTCGCACAGCCTTCCACCTACTCAGTTCAAGTACGGCGGTGAAAACCCCAGCCAGTGCCTGTCTAGTCTACTTGGGTCCATATGGGAGAGACCGCCCAAGACAACTGAGGGGAGTCGATAATAATAATTATCTTCAAAACTAGTACTCGCAGAGGACGTAGTAACCAGAGGCATCAAATTTCGATCTTCGTTGAACCAAGGCTTGCTCGTTATCTTATGGTAGCACCTGAAACCTTAATTCGCAAGCATCAAACAAGATTTCAGCTGGATAGAGGCGGCATATACACAGAGCCTCACACTCCGTCAGTGGTTAGACCGACGCCTTATTTACAAACTATCCACAATCCTGATGTTCCTTGACTTCAAAGGTGCGTTCGGTTCTGTCAGTGCTCGTAACCACACTTACTCAACAAAGGATGCATCAGAAGTCGTGGATCGTATTGCGGTACTTATGTACACGCACTTCTAGATGTGTGGTTGGTGGACTCACCTGAGCTACCACTATTTCGACACATTACCAGTTTCCCTCTGTTTTTTGGACGAGATGGTCTAAGGTGTTACAACGATTTCTTGTTCCAACTTCGCCATTGATGGAATAATGAGTTGAATCCGGTAAGGTCTTCAAGACCGCGGTGTTCAAATCTTTGCTGGTAGGGCCCCTGTGGATCTGGAGTACGCAATGCACGAAGACCAAGTATAAGGTCTGTTGAATGGACTGAACCATCATACAGCCTTGCGGCATGCGATCTGCGTGCAAAGTCATGCTTCCGGACGCGCAATCTCGGATGATGCCCCGTGCAATCCCAGGAGAAGGATAGGATGTTTTGTGGAATTTTACATACCTTGCTAGTTGTATTAGCTCTGACGGAAGTGTCTGATGAGTGCGCGAATCCTGAAGGCCCCAATCACGGCTGCCAAATCGCATCACTGGTGGCATCAAAGTGGCACATCACTGGGTCTTTAAGGCCTAGTAGTGGCTATATTGTTAGACGGTTGCGAGATATAGACCTTGCCGACAGACGATGTGAGGCATCTTCAGGTGGCCGTCTCAAACGTGTTACCGGTGTCGTCAACGGATTCAAACCGAGGTAATTAGAAAACAGGTATTTATCTGTGCGGTAGATACTTCGGTCGTGTGGAACAACCAGCGCCATCAGTTGCGGTGGCTTGTCTATTCTGTACACACGCCGGAACATCGTCCACCGAGACTAGTGTTGTTCTCTGTGCCTCCTTCAATATGGCGAGCACTGTGAGCTGGACAACTTGCAGAAGGCAGAAGGACGTGGAAGAGATTGAGAAGAGTTCAGAAGTTGTTGTCACCCGATTGAAGTTAGTGGCGTTCTTGCTGTCAGTTTCCAGATTGTCCGCTTGAGCGCTTGTAGGTGTGTACACCTGAAAGTGCTTGCGGTAGTCTAGCACGCGTTCCGTCTGATTCGCTGTCTTATTTCCACCTTATGGCATCAGTGTCAACACTGATATTGCTGTCTGCGTTGATGTTTTTCGTCCGAGAGCTCTGATTAATATCTCCGTAGTGTACAATGTTTGTCAGTGTTGGCGTCTTGAGTGGGTCCTGCACGATTTCCTGCCCATCGTTACTGGCCATGTGGGACCGATAGCTTGTGATGAATTCGATACGGCACTGTGATAATGTTCAATTTTCCCTGAGTACAAGATTGATGACTCGAGAATGTCATATCACTCCAATTTGCACATGAAACCACCGTATTTTCGAAAGCTGCTTAGACTGGGTGTCGGTGCGCGTGACAGACCACATACAGTTCCATACACTCATTTCCACAGTAAGCGCAACGGACAACTAACTTGCAAAACGACAGAATAGCGAGCTGTCATATAAGCTAGGAAATTGTACATGGTGGAGACAACTTTACACGTCCTCCAAGCCGGGACGACAAACCCGGTCAGTAAAGCTGACTGGCCTCGAGTTGCCCAAACGGACAAATGCTTTTTGGACTGATTATTTCGGTGCATTGTTGACTAATATATCCATATCGACTTAAAGCCCCATAGTTCAGTTCATTTTCTCATAGAGAACACGAGATTGAGTAGCTCTTGTAAAGGACAAAAAAGTGATCATCAAACGCACATAGTCGTATCTAAGCTTCCTCAGTTATTAGATTCTCTTTTGCCTGTTCCTTGGAAATATTCTCACATAGTAACAGCAAAGGGACCGAGTCGGGATGAATTCGATAGATCCACGGCACTAAAGGGGATAACAAATGTGGACTTAATGTGAAAATTCAATCAGCTGACCAGGATGCCTAGCATAAGAAACATCATTTCTTCGGAAGTTTCACGTGTCTGTCCTTCAATTGCGATGAAGAAGTCATCCCCTTGGAAGTTACCAGTGTAGCTAGCCCAGTACCAAGTGCAACTCAAATCTAGTAGCCTAGCATAAGAAACATCATTTCTTCGGAGGTTTCACGTGTCTGTCCTTCAATCGCGACGAAGATGATGGAAGTTACCAGTGTAGCTAGCCCAGTATCAAGTGCCACTCAAATCTAGTGTCAGAACAAACCATCAGACAAAGTACCACTCTTCATAGCGTTATATACGTTTCCCGTTTATTGGCCGAATAGACCGATGGTGCATGGAACCGTTTGGAGGAATGCCGTATGCTGTCCTCAAAAGAGACGCTTACTTATTTGGTTTGTTTCGCCTTTGTGCACTCTTGTGATTACAAAATCACGGCATGTAGAAAGGGGATGATCTTCCCAATATGGACGTAGATCTACCTCGACGCATAACTCCGGTGGTTCTTTGTATAGTCTACATTAGACTCAGACCTTAGGCTCAACACCATATGCACTACACATGTGTTCCATGCGTGCTTGGCGAGCAATAGGTTGGCTTGACAGGAAATGAAAGTTCTTCTAGATGTCCAGATTTACGACGTACGGATAGAAGATTTTTTATCAGATGACCCACATAAGCTCCTACTGCGAGATAAGAGGTACATCAGTCAGCGTTTATTATTTCTCAACGACACTGAGGCACTGGCTCGATAGTCATCGTCCAAGGGAAGTCTGTGCTAGATCCAGCTTTTATGGTAGGGATGAAGCATTCATGAAGTTAGGGGGGTACCGGGTTGGCAGGAAAGAGTTGTATCTCTGAACCAAACTAGTCACTAGGATCCACTCACCGCAGAACTTTGGGAAACGTCAGGTTCATTGTCCGTCTCCCAACTACTAATGAGATACAAATAAAAAAGTAGTGTACAAAAGGCGCTGGTCATCTATAGGCTGGGCAAGAAAACAAGGGGAGATGGTCATGAAGGAGGAGCACCTAATGAACTGGCAAAATGATACTTTGATGTTTCAAACGTTGCGATCATGATGGCTGAGGCACAGGTGGTCTTCATCAGGCGCGGAGTGAAACCTAGAAAGGACAGTTAAGAGAACATTAGTTTGGAACATGGTACAGCTCAACAGCATTGGGTTTCGCATAGAAAAGTCGCAACGGTAAAACCATGCTACCAGCCTACACAAGCCAAGTAAATTAACACTTCGTTATCGCATTGTCGACAAGAACTTGTGTCTGGCAGAGTGGAGGATCATATGATGAGATCAGCAACGTCCGTGTCGCAGTTCGCGATTCCAGCGTTAGGAGCGCGCCTGTCCCGGGCAGCATCCGCAACCCATCCGGTTGCATGCTATAGGATTCTTTGGCCGCCAGATGCCAAAAACGAATTTTTAAAACTAATCGGCAACAGATGAGCCATTTCCCCTTGTAACTGGGCCGAGCAATGTTCACTGTACGAGAAATCCTCCTGAATCCGAAACAACCGCGAGGTCCATCCCTACAGGGATGTCACATCCCTGGAGTCATAAATAAGAAATAAATTCCACGTATGCCGACGGAACGCACAGTGGGTTCTCGAAAATGGATGAAACTAGCCCTAATTTGAACACAATAATGTCTTTCTACGCTTAAATTAGCCCAAGAATCAATAGACATTTACCTTGGAGACATAATCCATTCGATAACCACCGGGTTAGAGTGATTATCGGAAAGGATCACGTTGATCCGGTAGCCACTTATCATTCGATGAACAGGCGAACTATCAGTCCATCCAGGTAAGTCAGCAAAACTCCGGCCTCACAACTCCCGAGAAAAGATCGCCTTTCTTCAAGAATTGGAAGGTATGAATCTTACCCAAAATGCCAAATGATTTCTGTCAAGCTAAGATAGACCAGGATGTTAAAAGACTAAGTTTAGCTTTATTGGTTGCCTCCAATGTGCATTCTTTCTATTGCCTAATAAAAAATTCAGCATAAATTGACGTTCCCATTATGTAACACACCAAATCCTGAGATTTACTATTCGGCCAAGTCGCATGGGTGGTTCCTGTTAGAAGGACCATTGCACCAATTTATGCAGAGTATATATTAAACAAGATTTGGCTGCGGCTGCCTTTGATGACCTTTGGTGGTTTCGTAAAACCTCACAGGATGTTCGGGGGGGGGATACTCCATCCAACATTTATCAGCGCGTTTTAAGGGTGCACTAACTGATTTAAGAAGGTACCTCCAGAACACTGCCAGTGGAAAGTCCTGCGTCTTTATTAATTTTCGACGATAACGTAACCATTACATTGCTCCTTGCTAACAGCCCTACGTCAGTTGAGCATCGTTCCGTGACGTCTTTTTGACTGAACCAAACAATTTTCACTCTATTTTCGACTAATCACCGCATAATCCTCATGGCCTGCTTGTCTGAGAAGCGGAGCTATTCAGCTGTATTACCAGCCAAATAACTGAGATTTCATCCAATGAGCAGATCTTCGTAGCGTTGATTAGAAAATCGAGGCTCATAATCGCAGAGCTAACCTCTATTTGTACATTAGATAACTGGACCTGGTACATAAGCCACTGAACCAACCCTAAGTTTAATCGTCAAGGCAGTATGAGGAGTACACATCGGACATAACCAGTAGAGTTAAACGTACTGTAAACATCCCGACTACCTTAGTTAGTCAGAAGTTATTTGCCCCCCTGAAAAAAGCTGTCCCTGGTGAGCAGTTGTATGGGCGAATTTCCCTCACACACGACAGAACACCGCTCACAAGCCCTTCGAAAGACCATGACGGTTTCGTCCGGTTCACAAGGTACACGCAGTCAACTAGTTTCCGTCAACACTATGTCCTACTTGAACATAAACTAGACGCGATTCGCCCAGTACACTCAATTGCGCACTGTCTTAACTGTGACGGGAGACTCATCTGTATTCCGTTTGAATGGCATAAACGAGAGAGGCATCTGAAATTCAGTTTAGTTTCCCGTTAAGACCAAATTACTGAACAAATGAGTGCATTTGGCGTCTAATTTGTGACAAATAAAGATATAATGTTGACGGAAACTGGGGGACTGTGTCTGCTCGGTGGGTGGGCCCGAAAAAGGATGAAACTGGTCATGGGCTGTCAAAGTATTTTCAGCGACCTAATCAGTAGTGTTCCGTCAAGAAAATGACAACTCCAGGGAGGCGGAGAATTTCGGCAAGATTACTCTGCAGCACGGACAGTAGAAAGAATGCCAGCAACATTTGACACGGCAAACGATTTATGTCAACAAGCCAAGTACAGTGTTTGCAAAGCCCTATGGAATACCATAGGGAGTTTGTTAATATAGTTATGCCGATTGTTTCATTAGCCGCTAAGTTCTCGGGTAGAATTGTTTCGGCAACCCAGAATGAACTTGATAAATAAGGTTAAAAGCGATCGTAACGTTAAAATGATGTCTTATTGAACTTCCCCTGAGTGCCTGATGCAACTTCTAACATCCATCAATATAGATAACAGTCAATAATAGGTAACCTACCAACAAACATAGCTCGAGGCCCACTTGAACTGTACAGCCGACGGAGGGATATCCAAGTTGATTTGGAGTAGGTCCGATCTACAATGGATGGTAAAAGGCAGATTAGGAGGAGAATCGGCCCTGAACGGGTGAGAGAAATGGCTACGGTTTGTGACGGGTCCGAGCAGTGTTCATTGAGTCCCAAGTTGTTGCACGTTACGAGTTGCAGCGAATGAGTAACTTTCATGACAGGCGTAACAGTCGTGTTCTAGGGCTTTGTCCTACCCCTGCAACACATTGTGAGAGTGTTTTGGCACCAGATCGACAATGTTATCACTTTTGCTGGGTTTTTCACACCAATAGCAGAGGCAACGTAATGATACAGATAAGAAAAAAAGGAAAAGGACGAAAAAACAAGACTACATATCACGAAGTTATCGGTACAATACTTCCCTTGGGGAAAAGGTGAGAAATGTAGCGGAAACAGCAGCGCGGTTTTCTATCCGAGAAAAGTGAGGCTTTAATAGTATTGAGTTGTGCGAAGCACTATCTCCCCTCTGCTACAGCGAGTGCATATGCGTGACCAATGCATGATAACGAGAAGTGCGTCATTACGAACGAGTGGTTTTTTATGCTACTTAGTCAAACTACAATAAAGGGCTTGAAAGGCAAAAACGGTGGTAATGGTTGAGGAGTATTGAGTAAATATTGGGCTATCGTACACTGCTTTAACTGCTTTAGCGAAACCAGAAATTGCAACCGTGAGCAAATTGAACTAACTTGTAAGAAGCGGGCGCACCAGAGAAACTCTGGTCACGAAGAGACTGGACCTTACCGTGGAGTGACGGTTTGCGCACCTCAGCGATCCATTGAGCTATACTAAGGAG